GAGAGCCTTATCGACAGGAAAAGACTCTGGCTCTGAGTGGGAAAAAAAGGGAAAAAGGGAAATCTTGGGTGAAAAAAAACAGCATTAGAGCGACACAGAGAGAAGGACTCTGTCATTGCCATTTCAATTTCCGTTTGAATTTTGCACTTCATTTCGCAAGTTCGCAATTTTCTCTTCAGAAAAAAATACACACAAAAAAGAGTAGAAAAAAAGTAGGAGTGATGTAAAAAACGTAACGATCGGAAGATACCCCGTAGTAGGGTCTAGAAGAAAAATTTATTTTAAATGGAATAAACAAAACGGCAAAAATTTAAATTAAATAGGACAATTAAAAAATATGAGGTATTGGAAAAAATACAGAACTAAAACTTCGGGAAAAATACTGCAACACATGGGAATTCTCCTACTGAAATTTATTTGTATTTTATTATTACTAAATCTTTATTCTTTATTCTGTCTGCAGAGCGGATCCAATCCCAAATGCCCCGTCACCAATATACCCCCCATTCTTTGCATAAAATCAGGGGAAAGCAGAAGGCAATGCAAATACGAAAGTGTATAAACAAAACAAAACAAGCTTGCGAGTAGAATGAGCAGATGGAGAAGGCAACACTCGAAATGAAAGAGACGATGACAATAAATTGTCACAGTAAAAAAAAAAACCGAAGAGGAACCCAAGGAACCCAGCTTCTCTCTTTCTCTCTCCATGATAATGATGGAGAATCATGGGGCCCAAGCCGGAGACAATTGCACGTAACAGTGACTCCTGTCGTTCTGTGCTGTCGTCCCATCGCCTTTCAACGGAGGGCCTGGCCTGCTGTTTATTTGTTTGACAAATAACGAGGAAAGCCCCATAATGAAGGAGGTGCAAATGATGTTGGCATTGTTTATTCGACTGCGAAATGTAATAGGCGCCTTCCAAGGATAGTCCTTGGCAGTCCTGGGGCGGGGTCTTGACTCCCAGATCTGCTCTGCGCTGCTTTGCTTTGCTTTCGGCTGCTTTTTTATGGCTGATTTGACAGGAAACGGAAACGCGAAATTGCAAAAGCGCAATAAAGTGTAGCATAAACAAAGGCGCACGAATGCTGAATGAATCTACCATTCAGATAGAGCTAGCTAGCTAGATATGGGGGCAAAGACAGAGACAGCGACAGTGGGAAAGAGAGAGAGAGGCAAGGACAAGTGGAATGTTTCAACTTGAAAGTAAATTTGTTTGCCACCCGTTTCTGATTGTTGCCGCACATTTGGCATTATGCTTTATCTGGTTTTATTTTTGTGTGTAGGCCGCCGCACTCGCCGCACTCGAAGCAGATTGTTGTTCCAACTTTTATCTACAATTTTATATTCAATTTGTTTCGGGTTTTTGTGGTTCCGATTGCACAGATTTTTATGCATTCAACTGTCACTAAAGTTTGAGATGGAAATATGATTGGAATATGCATTGCATATCGTGGGATGTACGCAAAAATCAAGATTTTAAAATGTGAACACAATTAAAACAATATGTGTTAGTTTTTTTATACATACATACATATGTATGTATATTTTTTTTTATTAATTAAAATTTTTTTTTTTTAATTTCCAGATTTTTGCACATGCATTTTAGTATTTTTTTTATAAATGTTTAGTATTTAAAAAAAAAAGTTTAGTCATTTTTAAAAAATGTGTAATATTTTTATATACATTGTTTAGTATTTTCTATAAAATTGTAGCATGTATTATGTTCCGTACATTTCTTAAATAAATTTTAATAGTTTTTCCAAATACATTTTTATTTTCTATCAATTACAGTAGTTTTTCCATATTTCAATCTGAACAAAAAGATTGTTCAAATACTCTTCTATATATGTACATTGTACATACATACATATGTTCACAGTTCTCTGATAATTCCTCTTTTGGGAGGCCTCTCCTTTTTGAATCAACCAATGCCAAAATAGTACTTTAAAATTAACGATTATCGGCGGCGGCACAAAGTGTACGCAACACATCCGATGATGCCACAAATGCACACATGCGGGGGACACAAAATATCTTAATTTCAGAGTAGAGAATGTAGAGAATTCCCGCCCCCCGTCCCACTCGAATTTTAGTCGATGCCCGTGCCCAGGACTGCCCCACTTCAGTCGATGCTTTTTGGCAGAGAAGGCAAATAAATGGCACAAAAGTGCCAAAGCCGCAATGTGTCTGCTGGGGGTTCTTGCTCCTTCGCTCACACACTATATCTCACTCCCTCGCACTCACTCTATGGGGCCACGCCCATACAATCAGGCGCCCATTTATGCACTAATTAAAATTTTATCGTTAAATCTTGTTTGCATGCATTGCTGTATGGCAGCAGGGAGAGAGAGAGGCAGAGACCAGCGAGGCAGCATCGAGAGGAGCATCGAGGAGTATTGCTAGAGAAGAGTCCTGCTGCTGCGGCTGCTGCTGTAGAGGGAGTCCTGCACAAGAGGAGTTCTACAAGAGCAGGAGGTAGAGCACCGGCACCGCATTGCATACATGGAAAATCCTCCCTCCCGAAAATGTGTGCAATGCGAATATTTTTCGTTTGCAAAATGTTTGGCAACAGTTATTTGCACTTGCCCTTCGAAGGATGCTGCCCCCGGAATGGAGGGCCTGTGCCTCTGCCAAAGCGCATTTTCATTGCATTTTCATATTTTATCCCTCGATAAGTGCCCCAATCGTCGCAATGGTTCCAAATGCTACGATTCGCAGGGATTCTGAGATAGAGCGGCTAATTCATGGTGGACCTTTGTACAGCATATAAATCGTGAATGTGAATTGCAGTTTCCAGCCACGCCAAAACAGAAAATCACTGTCATTGCCATTTTTTAAAAACATTTTCCACAAATTACAACATACCCCTGCCCAGCTACCAGCTGGGAGGCCAGGGGGCAATGGAAACCAAAATTCAATTTTCTAAAAATTTGTGAAACCAAAATCCAAAAAGTCGGAACACAACTTTTTCCCTGACGACTTTGTCGCTCGGAATAACTTTTTTAATTTAATATATATGCACTGCGTATGCGTAATTTTTGTGGCTTTAAGCGGCAGCTGTCTGTCGCCTACTCTAACTGCCTCCTCTGCTCCTGTTGCCAGGGCGGTGCGTGGTGCCACAAAAAGTAAGAAGCAAAAAATTTAATTAAAACGTTGCATAAATGAAATAGAAATTCAAAATTCGAAATTGCATGCAAAATGAATAATTGAATGGACACGAACGACAGTTGTTGGCAGTCCACAGTCGACAGTCGTTGCCAGACGACTAGTCGACTGATGTTTTTAGTTAATTTACCGTCAACGCATTTCGGTTGTGGGAAATGCTGGGATTTTCCCCACATTTATTCCGTGTGGATGAGTAGAATCGGTTCTCTAGATAGTTTTAACCGTGACAGTAACTCAGTTATGGACTATAGGGAGGGAATACAGCAGCGATTTCTCCCCATAAAATAAAATATGTATGAAATGGAGAACTGAGAATAAATGCTCATAGTAAAAACACTATTGATGGGATAAATAAAAGAAATGCTGACCGTGCGGTTCTCCAAACTGCTGGAAAATTTTAGATATATTTTTTTTTCAAATTTTTTATTTATTTTGATCTATTTAGAGAGCTCTCTTTCTCGTTTTCTCAGCTTTCTCCTTGTTATCATTTTAAATTCAATATTTAAAAACTGTTTTCTCTCTCTCTATCCTAATAAAGCCTTCCAATATTCCGCACCATCACTGTGTGTATCGTCCCACTGTACGCAGCATTAACTGTTTATTTCCTAGTCAGTAAACAAATCAACCGCAACAACAAATTACTAATTTAATTTTCATTGCACTTTCAGTATTTGTTTTCTGGTTTTTTTTTGTTGCTGCAAAATAAATTTACAGCCCCATGTAAATGTAAATATCTGCTGTGGTGGCTCGTTGGTTTTTGTTGTTGTTGTTGGTTGATAAATCTCCTTTATGGCTGGTCGCAAATGTCCCCGAGATCCAAGAGATGACTTTTTCAAGTTTATGTGCTTGAGAGCTAAGCAGTTGCCGGGCCCACAGGAAGGGCACCGCTTCTTACAAATAAAAGAATAAACGGAAAGGGATTTAGTTTATGTTTGTACTAAAGAATACCCTGTAATTCGGTTACTTTCTTATACATAGAACTAAAAAGAAATAGACATAAAATTCGCACAACTATTTAAAGCGTGTTATATATGTAGTAAACATAAACTGGATAAGTCGTAACAGATAGATATTATTTGATATTATTTGCAAGGGTTACAAGAAATTTAAGCATATATTTTTAATTATTGAAAGTTTCTCAGTTCTTCCAGAAATACATATATTTATTTGTATGACTACTCTATCTCTATGTATTAACATTAACAAGAAAATGCTTCGTTTCTAAAAACCACAAAACATTCCCATACACTCTCCGTTCAAGGGGTAGCATGAGAAAATAAAGACAAACTTATTTATTACCTTTGTTTCGAGACTTTATATGACAAAAACGCGCCTTGCCTCGCCTCATCTCCCGCCTCTGTGGATGGCACTTGAGAGTAAATGACATTAGCATTGTCTTTGCCTTTACCCCCAACAATCTCTGCCCCCTTGTACAGTGTACACACTCTAGATATGAGAATATCCTCATATCTTTACATATAGTTGTTGCTTCTGTGGGTTGGTCGTCTGTTGCTTCTTTGTGGCCTCTTGGAAAGTCTGCTCAACTTTCTTATCGCGAGGAAAATGTTTTTTCGTTGGGTTTATTTTGCGACTGATTTAGTTTTTTTTTTTTCGGTGGATAATATGGAGGTTGTGTGTGTGTGTGGAAGCGAGCGTCTCGTTTAATCCATGGTAGTTTTGCCTTTACTTTAACTTATTTTTGGTGGCTAGTTATGGGTTCAATCCTCGGCTTTAGTAGCTAATTTCCTATAACTTTTGATTGCTCAATTTTATGGTGATTAATACATAAATTATGTACGATTCAAAAGTTTAGAATCTAAGTACAAAATTATTCGAAAAGTCTTTTCTGTGTTTTCTATCATTTTCCATTAATTTTCCTCAACAAATTCAAAGTGAAAATTTGACAAATTTTCGTTAACAAAATGTGTGAACTACCCAAGAACTTTGTGACCTACGATATGGTGCACAATCTACGCTACGACCAAAGCAAAATAAAAAAGGTAAGCCACGCCGATAGATCAGTGATAAAAAACCCCAAAAAGATCCCTAAAGTACGATCCCTAATAGCCTCACGATATGCGACCCACAAAATACTGGCCTGGTGCCCGTTTTATGATCGTCTGCAAGGATGGAGATTTGAATACGGCAGCCTATAGCGTGGCAGGATTCATGCAAGAGCCCTTCCAACTCTTCCCATTGGCCACGGTGGCCGTGCATCAGTCGATACGCGACGAGTTCATTGCGATGGTCAGGAATCGCTTCCGTCAGCTGAAGCCCCATGTGGCCAATCATCCGAATTACCAGAGATCCCTCAATCTACTGCAAGACGGCTGCAATCCCGTCGACTATGTGATAGCCGATGAGAAGGATGCCCCGCCGTGTGCCAGTCCCATTTTGGTAACGGGCGGCGTCACACATTTATATTTCCCGAGCGGTGCCACGGGCGTCACAACGTTGCACACATTCGAAACGATACACGAGGCGGCGGAAATCTTTGGCAAAGAGCAGCCGCACTTTGATGCCGTTTATTACTTTGACGAGGGCATTGCCAGTGTCTATACACTGGCCGAGCTGATCAAGTGTGTGCAGATCTATGTGAACTGTTTGGATGCCTGTCTGCTGGCCATTATGCCGTACTATACCTCTAGGGTGCAGACGGTGCTGTACAAGAATGGTTACCACTACGAGGTCCTCAATATCGGTAACAGTTGGAAGATGATTGTGTTTCCGTACAGTTCGACCATCCTCAGGCCCTGCTGCTGTCCATTGGGTTACTGTCGCTGCTATGCCAAGCATACGGTGTGCTGTCAGGATCATTTAAATACTCAGTTCTGACGACAGAACTCCTACTTCCTCTGCTTTGATGTCTGAGTAGTTTTGTGGGAACTGTGGCAACACATGTAAGCCATAATTTTCGCGGTAGTTGGCTTTTGGATTGCCACTACTCAGTTTTGCTTCCTCCTACATTCCTCACTCCTTTTGCTTTGGCAAGCAGACTGTCGCCGACTCTTGGCTTTTAATAAAACTTGCAGCTTGCCAAAATAAAAAAAAAAACCCAAACTGTGGGGAAAAGGCTTTCAGAATGGAGTTAAGATGAGGCCTGAGATGGCATGGAGTTTAGAGGAGTTAAGGAAGCAGAAGGGAGCCTCGAAATATGGAAAGAGACTCCCGCCCCTAAAACGAAGAAAAGTCTTTCTTAACAGCCATTAGTTGCGGCTGCTTCTGGATGATTGCGGCATGCGACTTGCCTTCTTTTTGGGGGCTATAGCCAAGTTGTATGCCAACTTGTTAATGAGTTTGCCAGGCATATTGCTCTGCAGAGGAGTGAAAGGGCCCAAAAGGGAAGGCAGACAGCCAGACAGCCAGACAGCCAGAGAGGCCTCTATTCAGCACTTACTTACCTTCAGTGAGATATTTTTGGCAATGAAATGTTGCAATCACTGTGGCATCTGTCCTGTCCTCTTGCCTGCCCCTCTGTCCTGTCTGTCTGTCATTCGTGGCTGCAGTGCAGAAATCCTTTTGCCTGTTGCCCTTGCCCCTGAAAGACTGACAGCATGACTGACAGACTGACAGACCGACTGCCGTGGTGCTTGACTGACTGTTTATTTGTCAGTTTTGTCTGCAATTTTGATTCCCAGACTGACATATTTTGGCCGCACTTGCAACCATTTTCGTTACGCGACAAGAAGTAGTTTTGTTGGGCAATAAAAATTTGCGGATGCCAAAAGGATGTTTCGCAGAAAATTTATGGAATTAGTTTTTTTTTTTTTTTGGTTTTGGTAGAATATGTTTGGGTGGCACAGATGGAGCATTCTTTTAAAGGGAAATGCAAATAAAAAAATAAACTCATCTGGGGAAGAAGTCGAGAAAAATTATTTTTTGGATTCTTAACACAAGTTCTATGGAATTAAAAATAAATAATAATAAGTAAGAAAATGTAAAAATGTATCAACTATTTTATAAATATTTAAAAATATGTTTTCCAAATCATGAATTCCCAGACCCTTTTTTATTTTTTATTTTCCACCAATTAAAACTTTAATTTTGAACGATTTTTCGGAGAAATTCTTTTTCAAAACACGATGCCTGGCCATTAACAAAGCTGCCACTGCCACATTCGTTGTCTTCTGGTCCCAAAAAAAAACTAAAATAAAAAAAAAATAAAATGCTGCAGACTTGAGTTATTTGTTTACCCTTCCATCTGTCTGTCTGGGGCGTCAACGCAACCGAAATTCTGATTTATGATCCGGACACGCCCACTTGTTGACCGCCTGTGGTGCAGTACACTATGCTGCCATTGACAGCAGCAGCAGCAGGACTCTCTAGAACTCTATTGAATTCAAGTGCCAACAAAAATAATGTTAAAATAGAACCAACTTGAGGTTTTTGTTTTCTCGTACTCATACTCGTGTTGCAACATTGTGTGGCAGGGACTCACCCTCAAACATAACATTTTCGTGTTCGTTTATGTTTATCAAAAATTGTTGGAACAATCAAGCGGGTAACCACGCTGCCCAGGCTATGCTGTTCCCAAACAAAATGTCTCTCCAAAAGTGACCGCAACAATTTGAAAAACATTACCCATGCGACATGTATGACATCCAGAAGGGCGGCAAAGAGAGCCACAGAGAGTGGGGTGGGGAAAACCAACGCAACCGTAGAGACAGTGCCAGAGCGCCAGTGTATTTTCAACACCTGCAGCTGGTCAAACAAATCGTGTTCATTTCGGTACAAACACTAATTTCGACAAGGTGCAAACAAGCTGACGAGAGTGAGGAAGAGAGAGCAGTGCAGTGCTTTGGGAACATGCACACGAAACACAAACACACACCACAGACAATGGCAGGAGGAAGTACAAGTTACACCCAGAGCAAAAAAGCACCGAGATGGTACCCGCAGATTTGCACCGTTTATCGAAAATCAACACATAAATTATTTCAAATATATTTCATACGTAAAAGAAATATATTTTATATTTTTAAATATATTTAAATTTTATATATGTATATAATAATTATTTTAAAGATTTTTAATAGATTTATGTTTAATCCAAAGTGAATTTGATTGAATTTAAATATGTTTTCGAATATTTCATATAAATACTTTTTTTTTTTGTAATATTTTTACTATTTTTTTTTCTCTGAGTGCAGGGGACTGGCACTGAGGAAGAGGCACAGCGGCACATGCATGTCACGTGCAGTGACTGTACAGGTATTTCGGGGGGCAGGAGGTGGAGCAGTAGTCACAGCGGAGTAACAGCAACTCTCGAAGCTGCTCTGGCTGGGCCTGGTCGACGACAGATAAAATGCTTTTTACCCTGTGTGAAAAATGTAAAATTGCATTTGTAACCGCATTTCATTAGAGAGGAAGAAAGTCAACCTTCAGGTGGCAGCCAGGCAGGCAGGCAGGCACACAGACAGGACAGAGTTTTCCGCCGGTGAAAAGTTTGGGAAAACTATAGAGGTGGAAGGAGGTGGAGGTAGTGGGAACAAAGTGGCAACAAAGTTAGCATCCGCGTTCCGTCGAAACAAGCGTCACGGTCAATGGTGGAAACAAAAACAGCAACAACAACAATGACGACGACGACAACGACAACGGAGACAAAACGGAAAGCAAACTATGAAAACCCTGAAAAAGGGTGTTGGAAATCGAGGACTCCTGTCCTGTACTGCACTGGTCTGTCCTGTCCTGGCATTGCATTTGTGGCAGGACATAAACATGGCTTCTCTCTCTGTCTGACTGACTGTCTGTCTGTCCGTGCTGCGGCGGGCTTCCCTGTGTCCTGTCTGCCTGCTGTATCTGCATTTGCCTACTGCAATTGTCTCCCCCCCCCCCCCTCATTGTCTGCTTGTTTAGGCCTTTAAATGTCCTGACAGTCCTCCTGAATGTTGATGCCGAAACCCAAGTTCTGGGTTATCGATATGGCTACACATTTCAGGGCTATAAATACATAATGAAAGGGCTTTGAACACGCAAAACTATTATATGGCATGAAAAGAGGTCTGTTGATCAAGCTTCCTCCATAGAAAAAAAGCCATTTTAAACATAAAAGATTTTAAGAAAAATACACAACAAAAAATGAACAAAAAATCTACACGTAAAACAAAAATCCTAACAAAATATATTTTATAGGGCCACCAAAATTATATTTTCTTTCCCTTTAATACTTTAATAATGTTTAATCATATTAAAGTATTTTCATAATTTTTAATATAAGCAATAATTTTAACAAAGACTATAAATATAAAAAAAAAACACTCATTAAATGAGGAAATACTATCTCTCTTTATTTATTATTTAATTATTTATTTAATTTAATTTATTTATTTAAACTAATACTACTCCCCCATATATAATTTATACCATTAATTTTCTGGATAAATGGCTAACAATCTCGAACGACTGAGCAAAATATTGAAATAAAGCCGCCAGGAATCCTTTCATTTCATCTGATTCCATCCATCGTAATTGGATGCATTTTGTAAAAAAAATGAATATAAACATTTTTTTAAAAAGGTCAGAACACCCCACATTTTTGCCACCAAAAGAAGCGCAAGGCAGGCGAGTATGAAAACCGCAATAAATGCCAGGATATTATTCTTAGCCAAGGGTTTTCTTAGAATTCAAATTGAACCATATCCGACAGTGTTCCATAGCCGTGTTTCCGCATCTCGTTGACTGCCATTGTTGTTTTTGTAGAAGCTTCGCATAGATGGAATATCGAAGGTTTTGTTTATGGGGGAATTAACTTTTTCAGGTATAGGCTGCTGATCCATAAATATGATTTTTTTATATAGGTTTTTTCGCTTTGTTTGAGGCTTGCGACCCATAAAGCACGAGAAACATCTCTGTGAAATCTCTAAATGGTTGCAAAAACTTTATGTCAACGACAGACGATGGACAACGGACAGCACATCTGGAAAAGCCTGCTGCCGTGGCCGTGACAACTTGACAAATGAATGATCGGGGCCGCCGCATAGCGGCCAACCTCAGACATCAGGCAGGATGCAGGACAGGCGGCGGTGCAGCCAGGAAAACGGATGGGGTTTGGGCCCCTGACGCGTCGACAAACCGCAAAAAGCGAAACGGCAATCGCACCGACCGACCAACAACATCAACAAAGGGTAAAAATGAACCCCGCCGCCAAAAACATTTGCTCTGAAAAGTGCACCGATTACCGATCGATGAGAAGGAGGCAGAGTAATGGCGTCCTATAGGCCCTGAAAGTTCCTTGCTTCCTTTTTGGGCTGTGTCTGGCTGTGATGGCGGTGGTGTCTGGTCCATAAATTCCATCATATGATATCAATTAGTGATAGTGCGGTGCGACTGTAAATGTCATTTGCAGAAAATGCGCATATTTTAAAGCGTGACAGACAGGCAGAAGGACCGCTTTTGGGCATATCCCAACTCCATACCCATGCCAGGATATCTCTCGCTAACGGAGCGAGAGCTCTTTCGAATGCTCTATTGAGAGTGTAGTGGGGTAGTGGGGTATTATGGCTACGGGAAGAGATCAAGAACAAAGAACAACGAATTCCAACGAAGAGAATGAGAGAGAAAATCTGAATATGTGAGCAGGAGCGGCAGAAGGCTAACATCTACCTTCTTTTTTTTTTTAATAAATAATTATTCATTATAATAGGACCCTAGAAATGTTTCTTTGATATCTGATGGGAATTGTCTACTTGCCCATTCTAGGGAGGAAGTTTAATATCTGAGGAAGTATTTTTTTGCCCCCCAAAAGAGCATTCAAATGTCTCCCTAAATTTTCCCATAAAAAATATGGTCCTGCTTGATTATCTTATTTTTTTTGTTTTTGCTGTTTCATGGAGACCATAAAAACCAAACAGAAAATGGTCAAACGGAACCAAAAACCTGCCCTGCCTGACTGCGCGGCGGCGCTGCTTGGTCAGCCACATAAAAATCAGCTCTTGCCCGCATCAACTGCATGCAACAATGGGAAGAGGGCCAAGTGGTGGCAGGAAAGGAAAAGGGAAGGGATAGGGACACAGTGTGGCATATGAATATGCAACGAAATCCAGCGATGATGACCACGAAATGAG